ATTGAATATATAAAACATGAAAAATATTTACAACACTTTTCTACATAAGCTTAAATTTTTACTAAGGATGTGATTTGGACTAAGTTTCTTACACCGCGGTTCCTATACAAGGCGATAGTAGTTTCCAAAGAATGCGTTATAAAATAGCCTGATTTCTACGTTAAATCCTGATTTCTAGCGCGATTTCTATTTTCAGCCGCGTTATAGAAGGATCAACTGTAATGAGAATATCAAATATTATAAAAAGATTTATATTATTCATAAACTTTTCCAAATATACCGTTTCTATTTTGTGAATGAATTAATGCGATTTTATAGTTGATAGTAATAATTTGTTCATATATTCAGATTTCATGTAACTTGCCTATAACCAAAGTGCAAGAAATCGTATTAAGTATGCGTATCATGCAAAAAATCGTATTAAGTATGATTGTTCTAACGAGATTCTACAGTAGTCGTTTCGTTCACATAAGGGCTCAAGATATAAAATATTATTTCAAGATATTTCTAATTTTAAAATTTTTCAAATTGTTATATAGGTACTACATTATTTTAAATTATCGAAAGTTTGATTTTGCCAAAAGTTTTAATACTATATGTTTTCTCGACGTTTCATACCATTCCAAATCGCTTGACCGTTTTATTTTTCATTGTACCTGAATTAATATAGATATCCCTCTGAACATTGTTTTCTTAAATAAAAGTCTAAAGTCTTGAATCCAGCAGAGTAAGATATTTTTGAATAACTAAGTTAATGGTGACTATCAATATTTTTGATATATAAAACTAAATAAATTACAAATAAAGGTTAATAAATCCATATCACAATGTCATACATATTATTTATTAAAATTTTATCTGAAGAAAAACAGGCATATAGTCCTCTAAAACCACAAAGAAAGATAAATAACAACATTTTGATTAGGAAATAAACAATTAGACTAGATAATAATTTACAGAGTGGCGGACGTAGCTCAGAGGTAGCATGTCCGACTCACATGCCGGAGATCGATGGTTCGACTCCTGGCGCTTTCAAATAATTGTTAATTTGTAGAATACAAGAAAAAAATTGAAGTAAATAGGAAAAGAAGAAGTTCAGAATATGAGAAGAACATATTGAGAAACAAGAAGAAGAATGAAAATTGGATGGAAGATTAGGATTTAAGAAGAGATAGTGTATATATGATGAATGTATAAGAAATATATATGTAAGAATTGTATAGAATATGATGAAGAATAAAATGAATAATGTATGTGGCTAAAAATGCTGTAAAGCGGAGGCCAATAAAATATAAAAAAAAAAAAAAAAAAAAAAAAATAATAATTTACAGAATATAATAAATAAATGTTATTTTGGAAATAAACAGTATAAAATTTTATGTAAAAAGCTAAATTTCATTTCTTATTAATCGTGTAACTTGCCTTCTGGCCTTAAGCCACTTACAACTATATTATTCACAAAAGCTGAATTTTAAAGATACAGGTACACATATAAATTAAGTAATTGATTTATTGACACTTAGATGGCAAATACTAATGTATACCGATAAAATTATAATAATTTTGTGTCATAATTACTTTTAGCCGAATCAATGCCAGACGAAAAACAGGAAAAATTAAAAAGTCATCAGAAACAAGATACGAATTGTTAATTTAAATTATTGTTTTTAGAAATGAAATTTTAAGTCCTTTTTCATTATACTTTTATACCTTACAAAATGTTCAACATATTATGAAAAGAAGGTGATTTTTTTTAAAAATCCGAAATTTGATTTTTACATAAATCTCTTTGTATTGAAGTTAATTCTATACGGAATACAATTATTTTAATTTTGGTGAGAATTGCATATATGAAACCCATTGATTTAATAAAAACAAACCAAAACGCATATATATTTTTTGACCCACACAGGAAATTTTTATAATGCGAATATTGGAATATTAAGAACAACTATACAAAAAACTAATCTTAACACTAAAATTAATACACGATTAATTTTTTTCAAGTGAACCACTCAAAAACATATAACTATTTAATATATAATATTTCTTTTTAATATATGAATAAATAACAATAAAAAAATCAATAAAATTGTTAACAATAAAAGTAAGAATATGCAATTCCCACCCTCCTCTGAAATTTTCTGATTTAGAGTAATATTAAAAACAAAAATGAAACTAGTTGAAAGTGGCATTTTGCCTTAAGGCAAGTTGCATGAACTTACGAAATGTATAATAATTGACTTAATCAATCCAAATTATTTATACTTATGAAATTCTTGATAATATTTAAAGATTTAAATCAAATGCAACATTTTTACACAAGTAGAGAAGTTTTGTAGACTGCTCATTTACTTTTTTGCTAAATCCTCCAATTTTTAATGATTTGGCCGATCTTTTCGCAAACATAATTGCGGCTACTCCTTATCGAATTTATTTCAATGTTTTTTAAATTTGTGAAATTCGAATTTTGACTTATTACATCAGAAAGTGTGGCATGGACACAAATTTTGAAATGATATTTTTTCAAACTTTAATGAATTTTTTAAATTAAACGACTTAATATTTTAGTGCTCCATATGATATATATCAACCTAAAAAGTTTCATCCAATTTTTTTTTTAAATTGTTAATTACGAAAAAACGTCTTGGCCAGATTTATTAATTTTTACAATCGATTAAGAATTTTTGGCTAAAACGTGAACAAAAAATTTTCAGTTTTTGAGAAAACGTCGATGAAAATTTTAATTTTGATAAACGCCAGAGAAACGCTACGAATTTTATTAAACTTTAAAATTAAACGACTTGTCGTAAAGTCGTTATATTTTAGTATGAGCTATTAAATCGTCGAAAAAAAAAATTCAACAGTTAATTACAAGAACACTTGCCAGCAGATCTTTACCAAAAACTAATCATTATCATTCCCAACCAATATCGGTTTTTGAACTTTCGAAATCGATTCAGAATTGTGAGCTAAAACGTAAACAAAAAAATTTTCACTTTTCTGCTATTTACAAAGAAACGGGTCGGCCGATCATCGCGCAAAACTAATCGATGCTAGTCTAGACTAATCGAAATCGGAATGACTTTTAAATTTTCGAAATCGGAAGGACAAAAATCGGCTCACACACTGGATTGAAATGTCGAAAAAACATAAAATTATCGAATAGGATTTTTTGATGAAAACATAAATTTCTTCTTGAAGTTAAAAACTATAGCGCAAACATATTTTTTGACCCACACATTTTTATGAAGCAATTATTAAGAAATTATTAACAACATTACTGAAAACTAATCTTAAAATTAATACTCGAATCTTTTTTTTAAAAACAAAACCACTCAAAAACATTTAATATAATTCCTTAAATAAAAACAATAAAAAATTAATAAAATTGTTACCAATAAAAATAAAAATAATTTCCCCCTCCTCTGAAATTTTCTGATTTGAAGCAATAATAAAAACAAAAATTAAAATAAAATGTAGTTTCTTCGTGTTTTTTAAAAATTCAAATTTTAATTATTGATACACGAACAATTAATATACTTATTTCCTTAAATAAATAACATACATGTGTATAAACAATAAGAAAGTAATTTCCACATTCTGAAATATTTCTGATTTTGAATAATATTAAAAAACAAAATTCAAAAACTGAAGAACGAAATCGGAGCTTTAGTCACTTTCTGTGAAGCTTTTATTATTGCCTTTATTATATATTATTGACTCGGCTATTTTGTAATATATTATATGTTATATTCTGTTTATACTATTTTTGTTTTAAAATATTTCGATTTTTTGCCTAACAGTATTCCTAAATAATATCTAATTTATACATCTGTAATAAATAATAAACTATTGGTGTCGTGCCTTGAGGCAAATTGCTGGAACTTCCCGTACCGTAACAAAATGTTCGAGAAATATTAAATGTTTTTAAATTATAAATATTGTAATATTGTCTTTTGTCATTGTCATTGTCATTGTCAAATATTCATAAGAGTTATATAAACTGAATAGCAAAGTTGAAATTATTTGTTTAAAATATATTAGAACTTTAGTCAGAATTAAAATTAAAATTTGAATTATTTTCGATGTACAAAAAAAAATAGTGATAAAGAAAAATTATTTTTTTTGTAAAAACAAGCAGAAAGTTCTTTGAATCATTCAAATCGGACGCTTAGCTTTCTGAAAAACTGCCATTTTTTGCACATTTAGTTCTGTATCTTCAAAACTGCTGGACCTGCCTTTGCCTCAAACTAATCACCCCTTCTCCCAATCATTACAAATTGAATGTTTTTTAGATCATTTGTATCAGATACTTCGTTCTCTCAAAAACTCGATTTGTAATTTCTCCACTCTTTGCTCCGTATCTCCGTAACGGCTAGACCTGTCTTCGCCAAAACCTAGTTAGCATGTCTCCACATTAGTAGGAATTAAATGCTTTTTGAATCATTCAAATCGGTTGATCTATTCGCCCGAAATCGTGGACGAACAATTGTAATTGTCACACACACACACATACATCCATTTTTTCTAAGGAATGCCAAAATGTTTATTTTCGTTTTTTTGCGATTATTATAACTTACCTTACAGGAAGTTAAAAAATCAAAAACTAAAGAACGAAATCGGATCTTTCCTCGAAAGTCCTCAGAAACTTTCTGTGAAATTTTTATTGACTCGGCTATTTTGTAATATATTATATTTTATATTCCGTTTATACTATATTTGTTTTATAAAATTTCAATTTTTGTCTAACAATATTCCTAAATAATATCTAATTTATACATATATTATAAATAATAAATAAATAACAATTTATCTAATAAATAACCAATAACAATTTATCTCATCCAATTTGCAAATTCAAAATTAGCGGTCAAATTGAACTTGTTGAATTCAAAATGATCGCCTATCAAATAAATTGGCGCCACTGTCAAAGAGTTTCGCCACCGAGGCTACTTAAGGCGGCTCCTTTGCAATTGGTGTCCATTTGCTGCCGGGATCGCGCGGGGATGACATTGCATTGAATTTGAAAAATAGAAGTGATTGAAAAATAATTTTAATTGTAAATTTTTAAAAGTTTTAGTGAATTGTTGTCAGTGTTTTTACATAATTTTATATAATATAATTTAGTGAGTTTTAAAGTGTGCAACAGGACGACAGATTTTGTACCCGAAGAATTTAAAAGGTATTTATGCATGTTTTTATCATAATATATATATATATATATATATATATATATATATATATAAATATAAATAAATGAGGGTGTCTGATTACTAGTATCAAATTATATATTTTAAATGGTATATTGTTGTTACAATATGTAATTTGATTCGCGCGCAAGTGCAACAAAAATTAATAAATTCATCATTAATTGGTTTTGAAATTATTATGTATTAATTTTTATTTCAAACAGTTTATTATTAAAGAAAATTTTCGCGGTTTTAACAAAGAATTTTTGTATTTTTCAACTTCAACATTTTGTTTAATTTCTTCATCATTATTTCAAATTTAATTATTTTTACTATATAAAAAATATACAATAATATGAAAATCTAGGTATTAAAATTTTTAGTTATTTTAGTTTGAGGAGTTACTAAATAAAATGCAAACTTAATTCAGTTCAATTTAATTTAATAATATAAATATTCATTTTAACTATTTTTTATTTTAAGAAATATATATATTTAAATTCGAATGTTGAAGTTTTGTTAAATTTGGATGGTGAAGTTAATTTTTCAGTTATTAATTTTTATTTCAAGCAGTTAAAAGCATTATTTATTAAGACAAATTCGCATATGGTATTAGCAAAGCATTTTCCTATTTTTGTTTAATTTATCATTATTTCAAATTTAATTATTTTTGCTATATAAATAATATGAAATGAAAGTCGAAATATTTATAATTTTAGTTATATTTTTTAATAATAGTTATTCAATTATTTTGAAGAGCTACTAACTAAAATTATTTACATATTTATATAGTTTTATTAAAATTAAATTTGTTAAGTCTTAATATAATCATACATTTTAAGTTGAATTTTTATTTGTTTTATTTATTTTATTTTTTAATTATTTTTTGAATCGTTTGTCGGCCAATATGGTATTTCATGGATACAAAGACAATATATTCAATAATTTACACATTATTTTTGATTTAAAAAAATTCTATCATCAAAACTCGTATCATATAATAAATCTATATCATCAGATTTGTTTGATTTTATTTATTATATTTTATTTGTTCAATTTTTTGTCTTGCAAATATTTTTTCAAAATTAATTACATTACATATTAAATTCATATTAAATTGCCTTTAACGCATGTTTAGACTTGCAAAGTCAACATTTCATTTTGTTTAATAATTTTACAAATATATTTTTCAAATAATATTTTAACATTTAACATGTTACAATAAAAAATTATATTTTTTCATAACATTATTATAATATTTTTAATATTTTAATTTATATTTGAATTTTAACTTTTCATTGAGGCGACAACTTTTTATTTTCTTACATTTTACAATAATATATAATATAATAGTAATTATTACCATTTATATGAATTTACTGACTTTACAATATTTATTTTATATTGTATAAATTTTATTTGCATTCAGACTTCCAGTATTTTTTATTAGTTAAGTAATTTGCATATCTCAGATAGGGGTGTCTGGTATGAGAGATTATGAAACAATTTTCATATAAATAATAAAAAAGTTTCTTTTTCATGTTTTACAATGTTCTATCTTAGTTCACTAAATTATCCATCAATTTCAATTAGTTTTTAATTATGTTTTATAAATTATATTACACTTGTGTTCAAGAATTTTTACTTTTAAGATTTTTACCAATTTTGAAACTAGCATTTGGCTTATGCTAAGAAAAATTTTGGCTTTTAAAAACTTTTTTTCATTAATTTGAACACTTATTTATTTCAATAAATTTCAATGTCATGACTCATGAGTACACATTGAAGTTTTTGATTTAATATTTTTTTAGAAATATTTTTACCAAGTTTAATTTACCAATTTAATATCGATTTTATTCATTTTATCTTAAATAGATTTTGTTGTTATTAAATGCGCTTAAATTTACAATTACAATTTAGTATTAATTTATTAGTTTTGTAACATTCTTCCAATATCAATTTAATATATAGTAATTGACTATTAAATATATTATAATGTAATCCATAAATTAATTGCATCAAGTACAAGTATTGTGGTTTAATTATTATACATTATCTTTTCATATTTTGACTGGTATATATTTTATAATTTGTTACATATATTTTTTATAATTTTTCTATATTTAGCTCGAACCATTTGCAACATTTTACACAATTTACACAATTTTCATATTATCTCCATCTTATCACCCAAAAATGCATCCATATATTTATCTTCTATCCCAAATCTATTTATTATGTTTACAAATAATTATTGATAGTTTTGTATGTATCATTCGAATGACTCATCCCGTATATAGGCGGTACTTACATTGCGTTTATATTGTAGTACGGCCTTATATTCGGGCTGAGTTTTTTGAAAATTCGACGACATCTGGATTTTGATTTTGATTTAAATTTGAGTGTTTGGTTTTTGTCGATACAATCTATGGCTTATCCCAGAAAATACTTGTTGCTTACATGATGTTGAAAATTGTAGTACGGGTAGTTTCTGGGCTAAGCAAATTGTGGCAAAGACGACACGAGAATGAAGAAGATTTTAGGTAGAGACTGCCTTTATATTATTTTCTTTATTTTTAAATTGTATTTTGAGACGCTTTTAAATGCAAATTTCCTATTATTTATTTAGTTATTTATTTATAATAGATCTTTCTAATTTCCGCTTTTTTCATTGTTGTCTCCAAAATATAGTCTTTCCCAAAATATTAGTCTTTTCCAAATATTTTCACTCTTACAACTTCCAATTTTGCATTTAGATACAAGTTTTTAGCGTTGTAAAATGCAGGCACATATATTCACTTCAAAATGAATTTTCAATTCACTTCAAAAATTTTAGTGGCAATTTTAGAAGAAAACGTTTTCTATTTTAGTTATACATGATATCAAAGGGTTAGATAGAATATTTATGTTCCATCAATTCATAACTGTATGTATGCAAATATATAATGGTATTTATATAACATTTATATAAGCAAATATTAGAATAACTTTTTTTAATCGCAATTAATATCTTGTTTTTCTTAGCACTAAACCTACCGCTTTGAAACTTTAGTCGAAATTAATAAATTCCCGGTTTTTATATTTCTTCAACTTAAGGCATGACTTTTCTATAATATAAGACAATTTAATTTTCCTGTAACTATTATTCATTATGTTCAATCTATAAAAAAACATAAGTACTATACCTACTCCTGCCAGTGGTGGTTCAAATGACCGCTTTTCAAATTTTTATTGCTAGTTGTTATTAAAAAGGTTTATTGTTTTTGGGCAATAAGAACAACCGAATGATATTTGAAATCTGAGAAACGATTTTGATAAGATCCACCAGATGGCTTAAATATATATGTTTTGAATATCAATATGTAACACTAAACCTACCAACATTTTATGTTGTATCTATCCCTACCGGTGGCGGTCAAATGACCGCTTTTCAAATTTTCA